TCTCGGGGCCTCCTTTATTCAGGTACTAGTCCCATTCGTGCGGGCTTTGCCCACATGACCTAATCATCTGACACAGGCACTACCACCTAATATCACATTGTAGGTTAGGATTTCAACAACAAAAAAATCTCAGTGGGGGTTCGGGGAACACAAACATTCAGACCGAGGCACAGAATAGCTAATTTCATGGTCTAAACTGAACTTCAGGACAGAGATGAGTCTCTTTGGCCAAAGAAATGGTGACTTGGGCCCTTTATCAAAGAGAAACAAGTGTAGAAAAACCTAGTTTGAACGAGATTACTCTGGGACAGATTACACTACTTATGAATTAAGCAAGGGGAGAAATACACCAAAATGGATGTCAGAAGACACTGGTTTGAGTTCTGTGTTGCTTATATTAACAGGAAGTCATTTCTCCTACCTAGGATTCAAACTCTTTATCTCATGTATTGGTTAGAGTAAAGGCTAGGCTACTGTAACAAAGAAACACCAAAAGCTTTCCTACCAAAAGGCAGGTTCAAGAAAATGGAAATTTACTCGTCTCTTCAGTAACAGTCTAACTGACCTAGTTAGTGGGGTAAATCTGTTACAGGTCTTTCCGGGGCATAGGTCCTCCTGTTTCGTTCTTCTGATATTCCTTAGGGCGCTGCCTGATCCGCGCGGTTGAAGACGGGCGCAGCCCGCCCAGGTGCGGACCACAGGAAGACGCGCCTGTCCTTCTGTTTATGTGCGATCGGTTACCTGGCCCTCCCTGGCTACAAGGGAGCCTGGGAAATTTGGTCTTCGGTTGGGGTGTTCTAGGCCTAAGAAAAAGGAAAGGACTTTGAGGGGAGAACCAACAGCCAGCCACAGCTAGAGACTAGAGAGCTGGGCAAAATTACTTCTAAGTATGACTTAGTTCAAATATTTTATAAAGCCAATGCTATCTAAAAATGTGAACAGGAAATGAGCATTACTTTGCATAATTACATCAGTTCTTGACCTTCCAGACCTTCCAGAGGTCTTCAAATGGTCAAGTACAGAGGTGAACTGAAGGGACAGCATATAGTTAGGAAATGATTGGATTCCCTAGTCTAACACTTTGAAAAAGCTTTTTAAAATTAGGAGCATTTCAAATGTCCAGAGGTCGGGGACTCAGTATAACAAATCTCCACGTACCTGCTACTGAGCTTCCACCATTTTCAACACACAGCCAGTCGTGTTCCTTGCACCCCCCAGGCATCAGGGCATTTCATATACTCTGTTTGCATCTAGACACTGTGCACTGTGTTCACAGCTCTACAAGGCAAGCAGACACTCCAGCACCATGTCACTACTTTGTAACGCTTGCCACCATTCCTCTCGTCTTATACGTTAAAACACTGAATTCCAACAGACTCTGAAGCTCCGATGTTAAGTAACTGGTCCAGCATCGCCCAGTAAATCAAAGGCCAGAGCTGGAATGGAAACCCAGACCCTCCGGGTGCAGAGGCTACGCCTATAGCCACCGCAACCCAATGCACCAACCCAGGAACTCACAGCGCGCAGTTCAACACTGAACTGCTCACCTGGAGCTTCTGCGTGGGACTTGCTGCTGACGAGTTCTTCCCAAGACCGGTGAATGCCTCCTTTGAAAGACAGCTCAGGTGGTCCACCCACCCCTAGACAGGATAACAAGTTACTCAAAGCCATATTCTATCGAGCACGTTGGTGATTCAAAATGTCAGCTTCCTTTCTTTCTTCTTCCAACTGTTACTCTTTAGGGTTTCACAAATCTTAGAACTAAGTTTTCCAAGGGCACACTATTAAAATAATTTTAAAATGTTCTAAACAAGATTGTAATTTTTAGAAGTTTACACTTACCCGATTTGATCCTAATTTAGGTGAAGTGTCCAATACAGTGCCTCACAGCGAGTTCCCTATTAATATTAATTTCATTTACTCCAATAACCACATGAAGTAGGTCAGAAGGCACTGCTAATCAGATTTGACAGGTGAACAAATCGAGGTCATATTCCTCAGCTGTCCTTAAGATCCATGCCAGCATGAGCCTCCTTGTTCCTGTTAGTGCATATTAGCCAAATCTTGCAATTCTTTGGGTGTATACAACATTTCTTCCTGGGGAAGGGCTCTGATTGACCAGCGTGGGCTGTGCTTGATCTGACTCTGTTGGCCTGGTGGAAATAAGGGAGGTAGAGGCAGCCCACAGGACAAACATCACCTTGTGGGGCTCCTGCTTCTGGTGACGTCCTTTTGGCGTCTGCAGTCAAGGCAGACTGCTCTCCTCTGGCATGGGGGAGGAGGCGGCTGCTTGTCCTGGTGCTCAGAGCAATCCGGATTACAAGGTTCTCAGGGTTGTCTGGTCAAATATCCCTATCCTATGTCTCAGAGTCTACTCGTTCCTTACCTGAGCCCTGACGTTGACATCGGAGGCTGTATTTGTTCTCCTTGAAAACTGCACCCCAGTCACAGTTGACTCTGGGGCTGAATCTCAGCTGCCCTCCCACGGCCATGGAAAGGGGGTGCCTCTGTGTTGCTGTGGGGGCACTCTGACTTTCGCAGCATTCCTGGGGGGTGGCAGTTGCCTAACCACACCTGCCATCTTCTTTTCCTTTTACGAGACTTCTGAAGACCAGTAATCAAAGTTAACAAGTTCTATATTCCCTGTAATTGACACTGATCACACTTTTGGTGTTACCAGTAGCACATAAACCAGCGCTTCACCTTTCACCTCCCTCATCCCCATTCACGAATTCACCACTGGTGGAAATCTCAGCAGTTGCGATGCTACCACATGCCAGGGGCAAACGTCACCCCTTTCCAACATTAATGGGGGCCCTCACTATCTGATTGGCTCAAAACCAGGATCCATGTGGAAAGTCTGTCTGTAGGGCTGCTGGTGATACCAAATGTCTTGGCCTGGGTTCCCAAAGTAGCAGATCGAGAGAAGTAGTTGCATACAAGTTTATTATGGGATCTTACCTCAAGGAAAAACAATGCGGCCTAGAAAGATAACACAGGGAAGGAACACAATCCGTCCAAGGGTGGTCTACTGAGCTGGTCACAGCTGAGAGGGATCAGGGCATTATTTTGCTCGGAGGTCATGTAGAACCCATCACTTGAGGGTGGGCAAATATTTTTGGACTGGCTTTCACCCCCTGGTGGGTAAGCATTTCCTATGGGATTTTAATGTGTTAAAACCTCTCGTTATAATTGTGGCTTTATATAGTTGTCCTTGTAGATACCAGTTTTTGCTTCATGTTTTGAAGTCATATTATGAGTAGATAAAACTCTAGAATTAGTACATTCTGCTGGTGGTTTGGATCATTATAAAGTGATCATTATTCTTCGTAATGGTTTGTGCCTTAAATTCTATTTTACGTGATAATACTATGATATAACTTAATTCCATTACTTTCAAATTATTGGTATTCATATGCTTTAGATGACTCTTGTAAATAGCATGCAATTGGAGCAGGGGAGAGTAATGGGGAGAAATGGGGACAACTGTAAGTGAACAATAAAAAACAATTAAAAAGTCAGTCTCACAATCCTTGTCTTTTAACTGGAGTACTTATTCTATTTACATTTGATGTTAATGAAATATTTAGATTTAAATCTAATTTTATTAACTGTTTATTTGTCCTGCTTATGTCCTTTTTAATCATTCCACTTTGGGTTCACTATTAATCAGAAGGAACACATTTTTATCCTTTTAGTGGTCATATGAATTAAAACATGTATTGTTGACTTATTAGTCTAATGTGAAATTGGTACCTTTATGTTCTTCTCACCCAATGTAAGGACCTTAGAACTTTAACTGCATTTACCTGCTTCCTTGTTTATATCCTAGTGTTGTGCATTTTAGTTCTAAATATTTTTATTCCTCAAGATATCACTTTCTTTGTCATTTATTCTGGCATTGCCAACCTTCTATCAGCTTGAAGATTATCATTAGAATTTATTCTCCTTGTGCAGGTTTATTGGTGATACATTCTCTGATTTGATCATCTGGAAATATCATTCTCCTTCCTTTTTTAAGGATATTTTAAGTGTTGAATTCTAGTTTGACAATTACTTTCTTCTAGCTCATCTAATCACTGTCTTTTCATTTCTCTTAATGCTACTGAGAAATCTATTTCTCTTTCCTCCTGTATTATATGTCTTTAAGTTTTTCTAATTATCTTTAGTTTTCTACAATTTCACTACATTGTGCATTCCTTTTTCTCTTCCTTGAAATTTGTGTAGTCTCTTAAATCTGTGAACTAATGCCTTTCACCATTTCTAGAAAATACAAAATGAACTCCAATTCTCTTCTTTTCTGGGACTCCAGTGACACATTGAATTCTTTAAAATTCTCACTCCTGTTTCTTCCCCACCTCCCATATTTTTCTTTCCATTCTTCATTTTGTATAATTTCTTCTAAGCTTCTTATTCATTCTCTTTGTGTCTAATCTGATGCTAACCACTTCCAATGGATTTTAGAAATTTATTTAGATCATAATTCACTTGTTTTTCAGCGTTTAATACTACTAACATATGAAATTTACCATCTACTTTCTCTACTGTGCTGAGGACTGCCTTTATATCACTCGGAATCAATAATGGTTCAACCATCTGCGCGTGTTCCCCTACATCCATTTGTGGAATGGTTCATGTTTCACTGCCGAGTGGTACCTGCGCATCTAGATCATTACCACAGGGCACGGAGAGACTTGTGAAAGATGCCAGATAAATTTCATGCCTGGGAGGGGTAAGCTTTTTTTAAGGGAAGAGAAGAAACAGATGAAACCCTGGAGAGGAACATCCTCATCATCGCTAGAGAAACAGCACACGTGTTCTCACTTGAGGAAGTAGTGGAGAGGATCTGAAATCAGGAATGCTGGATTTAGTTAAAATTCCTCTGCTACTAACTAGCTATGCGACTTTGGGTAAGTCACAAACCGATCTGGTTTTTCATTTTTATCCTTTGTAAAAGAGGGTAACCCTCTAATTACTACTTAAATGTAAATGACCATCTTTTCACGTCACCAGTCTGGGCGCTGAGTAGAATAGTGAAAGCGGGGAAGCCGGGTTTGCTCATCTTCTCAAAAGGCAAAAGACTGGAGGAGCTAGGAAACGAACATCTCAGGGGCATTTCTCTTTGTCTCTTGTATTTGCCTTTGATAACAAGGTTTCCTGCTGCAAGGTCACGGGATCGCAAAGTGGAAACTACAGACTTAAGTCAGCTGGGCCCGGTCTAACCCCACCTGTGACACAGGCTGTGTGGGCGGGAACACAGCCAGGCCCGTGTGTTTACCTGGAAAATAGGAAATGCCTTTTAGGGCAATTGTGGAGATTTCCTGAGATACCTCGTGAAAAAGTGCCTACTAGTTTTCTGAGCATGGTAGGTGCTCAATAAATGCAAGTTCCATTCTCTCTCTCTCTCACATACAGGAATTGCTACATTTATGAAAATAATTTCGTTAACCATTTATTAAGAGTTCATTGAGATCCATTAATAGAATTACATATGGAAGAGGAAAATTCAAGTAAACACCTCCACAGAACTTTTTGCTTTGTGATAATTATCTGGGAGAAGTAATATACCAAGCAGGGTAAAGGACAAAAGAAGCTAAAATACTATTGAAGAATGATTTTGAAAACTGTGTTATACAATAAAATCTGTATTATGCCATACAGCTTCCAATTCATTCCACTCCACGTTTTATTAACTCTCACCATCTCGTAGCTCTTAAATGTAAAAAAATCTTTCTTTCAAGAAATGGTTTGCTATTTAAAGAGGAAAAAAATGCAAGCAAATAAAATTATCACTGGCCTCCTTCCTTCCAATTTTTAAATTACCCCTATTTAACTCTGGAAATACAATCCAAAGAGCAGCATCCTTTTGCTGAAATTTCACCTTAAATGCTTCTTCTGTAGCTTCTCAGCCGGACTGTCATTTGTAAGCCTTTAAAAAAATTAATTATTAAAACCATTTCCATTAGCCTTTTGTTTGGCCATCATGCCACCATTTTTCCTTTGCTGTTTAACAAGTGAAACGCCCCCAGCATCAGCTATAAATACACGGCACCAGATCTGAGAAGGCGTGACGCACGTTGGACGGCTCCCCAGGCCGGCTCAGTGACGACTGCGTTCTGGGAAACGGTGTCAGGTCGCTCTGGACCCGCAGCACTTTCCAAACCAGCCGTCACATGAAGGGAATTCTCTTGTCAGTTCCTTCTACCCTCTGTCCTGGTTCAAAGTATTGGGGCACCTCATTCACATGGTCCTTTGGTCAGTTCCTTCTTTCTATCCCTCGTTCTGTCGTCTGTCCACCCAGCCGTCCAACATTATTTGTATCTCCCTGACTCGTGTTGCTCGGTGGGCTGGGCGTTGTTCGGCAAGGCAGAAGGCCGCTGGTTCAATCCCTGGTCAGGGCACATGCCTGGGTTGCAGGTTTGGTCCTCTGTTAGGGCACATGGGAGGCAATTAACTGATGTTTCTCTTCCCCCCTCTAAAAATAAATGTATATTTTAAAAAACATTTTATTACTATATGCCTCAAACTGGAGCAAGATTATTAAATATGTTCCTGCCCTCAAAAAGAACACAATCGCAGTGTGGGAGAGTCAAATAACTTACTATCAGAATGTAGTAACTTCTACAACAGAGGACTGAAATGAATGCTTCGGAAGCCCAGACACAGGTATTAGGAAGATTTCTAGGAAAAGATCCTATCAAGGAAAATTAAACGCCATTGAAATAAAGGGTCAAGAGGACAGTGGAGCGTTCCCAACAGAAGGGCAGTAAAGGCACAGGCCTGCAGAAGAGAGCTTTCTGGAGAACGAGACGCAGTTAGGAACGACTAGATGACCAGGCTGGAGAGGTCTCTGAGGCTGGCGGCCGAAGACCAGGAGAGCAGAGAAGGCAGGCTCACATTCTCCCAGAGGAAACTGGGGAAGTGGCTCGCAGGTGTGCTCCCGTGTGCCTTAACCCTGGGCTTTACTCAAAGGTTTAAAAATGTTATTTTAAAACCACCGATCTAAGCAATGAAGTACTTGTGCTAAGACGAGAAGTTTGAGCCTTATCTTCAGACTGAGCAACAGAGTGTCTTGTTTTTGCCTCGTTCTCCAGAGGGACTGCATCCCAACAGGAGTTTAGGTCGCACACAGCCTGTGTGCTGGTCTAACAACATCAACTCTAAGAAACTGGGTCGGACAAAGCTGGCTGGTGAGTGTGGGTTAAAATGTCACAAAAACTGCTGCGCGGGTCAACTGCTGCGCGCAGGGTGGGAACCTGCTGACGGTGCGGGACAACTTCCCTGGTAGCTCGCATGCCCTCCTGCCTCTGGAAGCCAGCAGAGGACGTGCATGTAGGGGATTCACCGTCCTTACTTTTGTTAAAAAGATGAAAATTCAACTGTTACAGCACTCACAGTGCCTTAAGCCCAAAACGAAGCTTCCCTTGGCTCCGGTCACCGCTTTCACTGGGAAAGCCTGGCTACAAGGACAGGGCTTAGTTCTTCAAAGTCATTGCCAACAGAAATAAAAAATATATATATATAAATGCCCATTTTATAAGCCTTTTAAAGTTTGGGCGAAGCCTTTCAAACCCTACTAGAGCGTGTCAGGGTGAACCCCCTCTTACACATTTCTGGGGTTGGTGTCACTGCTGCTTTAAAACGACACTTGTCATTTGCACCAGTCTTGATCTTTTCCAAAGTATTTTTATATCGATCACTTTACACTCACAACCCTAAAGGCAGGAGGAATGTGGTGACGGAGGCCCGATATATTCACATAAATGCATACAATCAGTGAATCATGCAAATGGACGGTTCCAGAACCCAGACCCACAGAACCCTACCCTAGGGTTTCCAAACACCAGCCCGTCACTCCACTTTGATGCCTCCTTTTAAGGGGATTTAAAAAAAATCAGTTGCCATCCACAAAACATTTAAATAGCTCTCCGATGTGGCGTGTTTGTATCAGAGTACGGATTTTGGCCCTGTTCTTGAGTTCGGGAAGAAGTCGACTCCTCCATCAGCCCCAGGTGCCCCCACAACGCCCCGCTCACGCAGCCTGCCCTGGGACCCAGGGGCCGCCAGCGGCGCCAGCGAGCGCTCTGCTCCGCAGAGCCGGAGGCAGCCGTGGGGCCCGCTCCCCTCCCTGGCCATGCCCGGCTGGCGCGCCAGGCCCTAGCTCTTCTCCGGGTCCCGCCTGGTTCAGGAAGCCTCTCCGGGCTGGTTCCTTTCACACCACTGTCTTCTTTCACTTATCTCCTATATTCTTATTTCTCTTCACCAGACTTTTTGACACTCGGATCCTAGCTTTCTTGTATTGTCAGTCATTTTGTGAAGCATCTGTTTTGAAGTGAGAAATAATGACATAATAGGTTCAAATGCTAGCTCTGCATCTATCAGATTTTAAGTTAATTTATCTGAGCCTCACTTTCCATAGAGAAGCAAGGGTAATACCTTGTCAGGCAAATGTGAGCACAATTAATAAAGTACTTAGCTTCCCTCCACCTAACACATAGTAGGTGCTCTATAAATGTTTCATATAACCTGATATGGACTACAGAGAAAATACTAGACAAATGGTACTTTTCTTTCTTTATAACTGATGCAACTCACCTGTGGTCTCAGGAAACCAGAGTATGAGATTTTTTCCCCTCTTCACAATTATGTTTAGCCCACGTGAGCGGCATTGCAGTTGCGGCAGTAGTGATACTTTTAATGAAGCTCATTTACATAGTACTTTAACATGGATAGACTTTTTTTTGGGGGGGGGTTAAGTTTATTATCTCATTTGACTCTCTGTGACTCCCAGAATGTAGGTAGGAAAGGTGTCATTAAATTTTATATACTAGAAAACTTAATTCAGTGTGGTTAATAGTAGTATCCCTTTACCTTGTTTACAAATCATTTAAAAAACTGTTAATTGATGTCTTAAGATCTTAGTAGTCCTTAAATTTTAATACCTTTAAAATCTCCTAGCTATCAATAGGCACTAAACTTGGTATGATCTTTATGACTGCTATGAAGAGGAAATAAAAAACAAAAACCGAATTAAGCATACTGCTCCCCTGCAAACCCACCGTTCTGTGAGTGCCCCCGCAGGAAGGAAGGGGACCTCTGGGAAGGCAGGGCCTTATTATTTGTAGAAGAGACAGTTGTATGAATTCTCATAAAGTTTCTTCTTCCTAATCTCTCAATGGTCTTCAATTTATAGAAGCACAAAACTGAAAGAGAATTTGACGTCGTAAGCATAGCTTTTGCATCTTTATGTTTAGAGATGTAACTAAACCTGCCAGCACTAATATCCTTCCTATACAATGGCCTCTCTAAATCAACGAGAATTCACCTACAGAGACTGTTTTCTTAGAACATGAGGAGTTTGAGGCAGCTGAAGTCTTTAGCACAATCATTTTATAATTCTGAACTAAGCTGATTTAAGGAAATAAATGAAAAATATTAGCAAAGTAAAACCACGTTTTCATTTATTTTTACAAGGTCTGCCCCACCCCCGCCGGGCCCCCGAATCGCTTAAGAATGATGCGGTAGTCTTGCTCTCCATCCCGTCCACCCCCCGCCCCGAGTTCACCGCTGTTCTGAAGTTTGTGGCGATCCTCCTGGTGGGGTCTTTTTGATTTACATACATTTACACACAACATAAATAGTACTGTAATGTATTATCCTTCTGTTCCTGTTTTCATTTGAAATAGTTTCAGATGTATTTATATTGATAGTCATCAATTTAACTGTTAGGATTTCAACGTGTAAAATTACACAGGTGATTTATTTGCGACATTTCTGCACTAGCTGACCAATGTTTTCTGTAGAGTCAGAAAATAATTTAGGCTTCACAGAACACTTATATTTTGAAAAATAACCCTGTAAACATGTTGTTTTGGGGTCCCGAAGACAACCCTGTAGTTCAGTGACTCACAGAACTCAGAAAAGTGGTTATGCTGACAGCTATACTTTATTACAGCAAAAACAAGTACGGCTTGAAATCCACAACGTGAAAGGCACACAGGGGAGGAGCAGTCCGGGAGGCCAGAGGCGAGCTTCCAGTTGTCCTCTCTGGGAGGGGCACGGGCAGCACTGGATTCTTCCACCACGATGCGCGGTGACACACATGGAGCGCTGCCGACCGGGGAGACTCACCTGAGACTCCGTGTCCAGCGTTTTCGCTGGGGGACACAGGCCCGGAACACCCACAGAGCCCACCTTATTCAGTTGTCAGCTCCTCAGGGATCAGCTGGCGCGGCTGGTGCCAGGCCCCAGCCCACATCGGTGTTAGCCTAGCTGTCGGGTGTTGCTCAAGGCCTGCGTCAACAAAGGCCCGCATATGAGGCAGAATATTCCGAGAGTCTGAGGTTATCTCTCAGGAGCTGGTCAAGGGCCAGGCTTATCTTTGGAATGTGCAGGATTTGAATAAGCCAGACGTGCTAAGTCAATCCTTCACCACATACATATCAAAACCATTCTCAGTTCAAAAGCCATGGACTGGATTTTGCTGGATACTCTAGAGCTAGGGTCATGAAGTTACTTTTTCCCTCTGTTGTTTCACACACTGCTGTAAGAGGCATCCCTGTCAACGTCCTGTTGTGCACATTCACACTACACTGGGGGAACACTGACACAGGTACTGTTTTTTAGAAACAAAAATGTGAAATCAAAAGTATGTTAAATATGTGACTCTTCTTAAAAGGAAATCAATCTATAATGCTAACCACTGGGACTTAAAGATTTAGATGCAAGTATATAAAATGTCAGCCTTTCTTAATAAGAAAACTGAATTTACGATCTAGTGAAATACAAAATCTGTGTTAGATTCTAATAGATTAAAGCAAAGGTCTCAAGAAATACTAAATTTAAGTTCTATATTATATATTCTATCATAAGCAACAAACTGTTTTTCTGTTATTACATACAAAGAGAAGGGAACATTTTGTCCAATTGTTTTATTACACACATTTTCTAACATGGACTGTAACCTTTGTGTGACTAAATGTCAAGGTTACGAAATAAGCCTTAGATAACTGTGGAAAGTCAAAATACGACCAATGTAGGAGACAGTGTAGTTCACAAATACTTATTAATAGCTTCAAATGTAGCTCAATTTAAAACAAAATATTAAGCTACTTTCTATCTGGAGTCAAGACTTACTTTCTAGCTTATTCCAAAATGACATTTCAAAACTTGTCTTCAAGTGGGTCTGATACACGAGTACGATTCCTCCTGAACGGAGACCCCAGAGGGCGGGACCTTCCGAGCGGCTCCCTGCCGCCCGCGAGCCCCTTCTCGTGCCGCATTGGACGCTGGGGTCTGGGCGCCAGCCAGGTTAGGCCTGGGCGCCAACAGAGACACCGCAGCGTCACCTGGACTCTTTCTCAGGGGATGTTTCTTGTGTGGGCACATTAAGGAAGTGCTCGCAATAATTTTTTTTTAATCCTTACC